CCCTCTAACATATACCATTCATCTACTTGCACAAGAGCATTCCTATTCATCCACTTTCAATAATTATTTTCAATTTTTTCAGGTAATAAAATCATCATAAAAGTTTGATGCCATATATACGTCTCTATTTTCAAGTTTTTTTTTTTGGAATTTCTTCTAAGGAACTTTTCTTGTAGCACAGAAAAAGGAGAAGTTTCTTCACGATCATGACCTAATATTGTGTTCACTTGTACGCTTGAATTTCGAATTTTGGTGTAGCCGTGTAGCATTGGTTATTCGTATGCATTTTCCGCGGTTTCAAATTTGGTCTTTGAGGTAATTTGAGGGAAACAACGCGAACTTTGAAAAATCTTAGCGGTCAGCAGTTGACAAAATGCAATAAAATAAATTATAAACCAAGGAAATTGACAGAAGTATTACAAAAAGAATTAGTCTTGTGAATATATAAAGTATCTGCTGTGCAATTATATATTTAGTGTCTACCGAAAATTAAGTTGTTAATATATATAGTACTATATATATTTTAAGTGAATTTTTACTTAAATATATAAATAAAATTAACTAACTACTGATTACAAAAATATTTAATATCATTTAATTTTATTAATCATAACCAGAATAGATTTTTTAAGTATCCTTTATTAGAAATTTATAAAAAAATAATAATGAAATCAAATTTCAAATAATTAAAGAGTGTTTTTAGAAGTAATTGCGTAATTGTTATATAAAATGAAAAGAAGTTAAAATTTATTTATGTTTAGAAAAACATGACCCGTTATGTTAATATTGTTCTATGCAGCACAGTAAATTTAACTTTTTGTTTCAATTTGTAAAAACGGATGAAACCAAAATGAAGAAAAATTACAACAAATAATGAAAAACGAAAAATCAGACGAATATTTTGTAATTAACGTTTTTTACTTAATAACGAAAATTTGTATAAAAAAGAAACACATTAAGATATAAAATAAAATAAGTAACAAAATAATCAATTTTGTGAATAGATAATCAATTTTTTATTACATAAAATCGATCTGTTTACTATTTTATTACATTTACGTATGTATTATATTTTTATATAAGCAATTGTTATTAATTTATTAATATTTATATTTTTGAAATAAAATGAAATATAATTAATGAATTTATCTCTCAATCCCAAAAAAGTATATGCTTTTTTTATATCAACATAACTATCTATTATTGTGATTCGTACGGTTATGCTAATTAACAATATAATTATTTATTAGATAAAATTTGTATATTGACACTGGTAATTAATCCTTAGGTATGAGATTTCTTGTCAAGGAATTGTATTGATTCTAATTTGGATTCATTCAACAACTGAGTTAGGGTTTTAATTCGTTACTACTGGGAAATCTACTTATATATGTATTTAATTATCTCAGTAATTTAATATAAAAAATTGACTTTTTTTAATTAGTTTTTATGTCTAAAATCAATTTCCAAAAATGTTGTATACTTGCATTTACTTGTATTATTTTTATCTATATTCATACTTTTTTTGTTATTAATGTGAGGATTTTTTTGTCAAAATAAAAATAAATTCAGATAATATTTATGAGAACAAATTTATTTGTTATTCTTCTAAGTCAACATTATACGTTTTAAATATTAATGGAAGAGTTGAACCGCAATCTCTTTTACCCTCTAATCCAATTTTATCACTAAATCATCTTATAATTAATAATGTAATTTATCATCATTCAATTAAAACAAAACGATCTCATTAAAATTGATTTATAACCATACATTTTATTTTAAAGTTATTAGCATTGATTGATTCGTATCAATCTAGATTATTCCAAATGGATGAAACTCTTGCACAACTTGTGGTATTGTGTTCTTCCTTGTGGCTGCAGGTTACATAACATTAAGTGCTTGTATAAAAAAGATATGCTCTAATAAATGATGTTAGAAATTTTGCATTAGTGATCTGAAAAAATATAGAATAAAAAATAAGTGGATAGAAATTATTGTCTTTTTTAGTTGCTTTTTAGGAAATTGAATTAACTTCAAATTTAAATTCTAAGATAATATTAAAACGTATTTCAGTTGTTCAAACATCGATCACATCCTTCAAATGTATAGTTTTGTAAATTCAAAGTTGAAATGTTGAATCTTTATATACTATGACTTGTTTCAATCAATAAAAGAGTTTAAAAATATAGAGAAATCACCGGTTTTGATACTGCTGTTGGATCTGTCACAGAGGTAGTTTACTAGAAATATTCAAACACTAATAAAATATGAGTTCAATCATATAAGGAATTGACACTATTTTTTACCAAAAATCTTAATAAAATACGTTAATGGATCTTTCATCTTTATATAGTGCTCTATTTTCTTATCTCTATTCAATATGAGACTTAGACTCACACTTGGATTCCCAACACATCCAACAACTCCAATGCAAAATAAAAACAATTAATCTGCAAAATACAATAAAAAGTCGTTTATTCAAGACATTGGGCAGATATTTTGAACCCTGCCAACATTACCTATCCACGCTCTATTACTGATGTAACCACAACAGTGATTTCAAATAATAATGTTAAAATTATCTATAGCTAACGTTGACAGTTATGTCTTTTTTAATAATAGAAACTGTCATACATGCAAAATATTATCTTACAAATATAATAAGAAAATATCTGTTTAAAAGATTATCTTTATATAGTTAATTCACCACGACGAATTTAGAACATGTCCAACTTTGAATATACATGTATAAAGCAAAATTTCCAACTGAATTTTTTGTATTTAAGCAATTGTTACGGAACTCTTCTCCTCCAGAGTGGTCCTCTTTTCTATTTGCATATTATTTATTGATCTAAAATTTCGTTTTTCATAATTTTAGAATATTAATACTTATACATTATAATCCAGGGTTTAATTTATTATATATTATTCAATGTTGTAAAGTCATAAGATCCTAAGTCTTCTTCCAATCCAACAACCGTCCTCGGTTTACACAATCTGACAAAAGTCCCTGTTTGTGAATTGCAACTTCTTAGCTTACAAAAAATAATTTATAATGACAAGTTTCATTAAATTGAAGTATTAGGTAAAGCCCTATACCCTATGGTTTATAACATTTTTTTTTCATTAGCTTATAATGACAAGTTTCATTAAATGTTTTTCCTCTTTTTTTTTATCGTTCTTATTTACTTTATTAATTCTCTCTTTATTTTCATACAATTAAAAAAAAAACCGTACTTTTATTTTTCCTTTCGAATTTTTTATTAAATTTCCGTTAAAGATATTCTTTTCAATGTTAGATGCTAGTCAATCCTTCGAATGAAGAAAGATATCAAGTCTTCAATGGTAAATATTTATTTTAGGTTAAATATGAAGGTTTTCCTCTTATTTATTTAATATTATATAACTAATTAATAACTCTGTTTTTAATGAAGCGGTGACGTGCATGCTATGGCGAGGAAAAACGTAAAAGGGAAATCCCGTCTTCCCAATGGAACGTAAATTATTCTTTTAAAAAGGAGAGAAAATTAGATAAATTTTCTATAAATTAAAATTAATTTAAAAAAAAATCATATTAATTTTTGTAAAAGATTATTTTTAAGTAGTGTATAAGATAATTTTATTCGCAACAAATTTATATTGTTTTTTATTAACAAAAAAGTTATTAAGAATACCTTTAAATTAAAATCATATACAAATGGTGAAAATAAAATAGAAGCACGTGCGAATTACGCTCTTCTGTAATTCCCGTCCTCGTTTAAAAACGTTGAATGATTGAATTTGCCACAAAAACATACATGGTAGAATCTACGTTTATTATCAGAATATTCCAAATATTCCTTTCTGCGATGTGGAATAAATATATTTTATGTGGCTGAAGCCGCAGAAACTACAGAAAAGACCACTCACTTTATACGACCATAGATTACAGTCACAAAAAATCGTTACTTTTTACTTGTCTTTTATGTTTGGATAAGAAAAAAACCAGTCTGACAAATTAAACTCAATTCGTTACTTCTGTAAAGGGAATGTGGAGTGATGAAAGGAATTAGAGAAGAATATAACAGCAGAAAAAGATGAAAAGAAGAGTGTTACTGTTGTTATTGTTTTGTTCATACATGATGTAATAACTAATAAAAGCGATATATAGTACAATTAGGTACAGCACACATAGATGCATGATGTAACAAAAAGTGATATAGCAGCATGTTACATTAATTATTATAATACTGTGCTTTCGTTAATCACGTGAAGCTTAATTTAACATCAATTCATAACTACCATGAAGTGAATCCCACTCTGATTCCTTAGTTTTAGACCTATATATGTAATTTAGCAAATTTTAACAGGAAAAGGGGAGCATTATATTAGATGTGTGTGAAATATCAGAAACAGCTTTAAATATCAAACGAAAATGATGTCTGTGGAGTAAATAAATTGGCAAAACCTGTTGAATGCATAAAAAAGGGCACATGCATTGTACCTTTCGTTAAAAAGTTTTTCTTTCTCCAAGTCTAAAATATGTACAGTGCTAGAAACTTAGCACGAAAGTTGCATCTAATGCCGATCACAGTAATAGGCTTTCAATTTTTGTGTAGTTTGGAAGCAACTGTCAATTATTGCTATTGCTACTGCTAACGCAATTAGTTTACACATGAAAGCTTTGATGCAATCACCAAACCAACAAGAAAGAGATGTGACCAAAAAATGTCAACATCTAAGAGAACAGAAAAAGATTGGCAACAGTGTTGATATGAACCAATGGCCAACCTCATATCTGGCTTTATCTAGTAGCATTCATAATTCTGTATTTTGTCATAAAAAGACCTTTTCTTTTGCCTCTTCTTAAAGCCATCCCATTCCAAACACTTTCATTTTTGTCCAAAACTAACGTTTTCCCCTTAACAAATACGAATATTAAATAACAAAAATCATATATTAATAACAAAATGTCTCAAATCCAAAACGTGGAAATGATTGGTTGAGTTCTTCTCGTGATTTCAAGGTTCAGCAAGGGCAAAATGGTCATCAAGGGCATGACATAATTATATAGGATATCTTATCTACCATGTCTTGACAGTTTCTGCCAATACAATTCTAAAGGCTCAGCTGATTTTCCAAAGCTATCACCACTCGTCATGGATGCAGAAGAAGTCTTGAGCCTCTTTGATTCATGCTGGTTTGGGTATCAAACATCGAAGGAACGCTCAAGTTCATCAACACCGACAAATTCTCATGAAAATTCAGATCATCAAATAAAAGAAGAACCATCAGAACCAATGCTTTTGCGCTTCCAAAGCACTCACAACAGGTCCATGAGCGACCAGTTGAGTTCCATGACATGTTTCAACGATGATTCTCTTTCCCCAGACTCAGTTTTTTCGCCAAAGCTTCAAACCATTCTCTCGGGAAAAGATGTCACAGACTCAGAAGTACAGGTGCGGCATGAAGTGTTGCCTAAGAAGAGGGAAAGGAAGAAGAAAAGGCAAAGCAAGAGTTTGTCAGACCTTGAATTTGAGGAGTTAAAAGGGTTCATGGATCTGGGGTTTGTTTTCTCAGAGGAAGATAAGGACTCTAGTTTGGCTTCAATCCTTCCTGGCTTGCAAAGGTTAGGGAAGAGTGACGAGGAAGAAGAGGATTGTGATGGGTCTGCAGTACAAAGACCTTACCTCTCGGAAGCGTGGAAGGTTCAAGAAAAAAGTAAGAAAGAGAACTCTCTCGTGAATTGGAAAATTCCTGCTCTGAACAATGAAATTGACATAAAAGATAGTCTCAGGTGGTGGGCTCATACTGTTGCTTCCACTGTTAGATGATGGAGTTTTGTAATTCCAGTTTTTCTTGTACTACATATTTTGCTTATATTTCAGAAATTTTGTTTAACTTTTTGCTATAGCAGCTTTTTAACCTTTTTCCGTCAGGAATTTCTGGAATACCACATTGTAATTTCAGATCAGAGGAGGGAAATGCATCTCAGATTTTAAGATCATTGTAGGTCACAGACAATTTCTGTTGCAGTAGGTCCATCTCGAGTTTGAAATTTTGTACTTCAAAATTAAGGCCACAAAGCTTGCACCGAACCCAATACCAGACTCTCCAAACCACAAAAAGGTTAAACATAATTAAATCACCAACTCATTCGGCTTTTTCCAATCACTTTTGTTTTGCTACCTTCACCGGAATGTATGAAAATGAGAAAGTAAGAAGAGAAATAATAGAATTACATTTGATATTATCTTTTTTTTTTTAAATTTTTTTAAAATATAAAAATTTATTCTTTTATAATTATTTTATTTTTATAATATTTGTCTAACAAATGTAAACGTGTCTTTTTATTATAAGTAATATCATTTCTAATATAGTAGAAAAAAGAAAATTGGTTAGTTATATTGATTGATAAAAGTTTATCAATTTTAACCTTTACGTATATAATTGTATGTATTCACTTTATTCAGTGACTGTATAGAAGTTAAATTTAATGAAGCAAAAATCTGTTAAATGTATAATATTGGTAAGATAATGAATAGTGAATAGTGTATGAATATTATTACAAGCTGATTGGCAAAACAATCCTGGAAAAGTGTATTGGCAATATTTTAATGTTTCTTGTTCAGTAATTTGAGACGATCCAAGCACAAGGATAATTGTTGTGCAATCATTTGATTGATGTTTTTCAACCACTCAAAGATACTGCACAAGCGGTTGACTTTTCATCTCATATCTTAGAAGAAATTACCGATATGAAAATAAAATTCTCAATTATTATTATTCTCCTCTTTATCCTTTTTACCACCTTTCAAATTTATTTTTCCTTTATTTTAATTTTATTACCATTTAACAATGGAATAATATATGGAAAAGTTGAAAACGCATAAAATTTGACAGGAATCAAATTTAAAATATTAACCTCGAGGGGTAAATCTGTAAACGTACTTTTGTTTTGGTTGCCTTAACCACGTCACTTTAAAACCTACGCTTTTAAGTTCCGATTGGGGGGACATGAAGTCCGACAGATAGATATGTTCGGCCAAAAATTGGTAAGGAAAGACCTAAATTTTTGGATCTGTGAGACTGGTTTAGTTATATTCTGCTACATTTAATTATTTTCGTCCCATTTAATTATATTATTTCAAAAATACTTTTCAATTAACTAAGAATTTATTTTATATCAATAATATTTAAAAATTAAATTTCAATAAAGAACATTTCAGAAAAGAAAATTAAATGTGATTTGTAAAATTAAGCTATACTGATTAACTTTTTAATTACCACAAAGATTAGTTATTCTTTTATTGTTAGTAATTAAGATTGTAAATGCACTGATGCAGAGAAAATTGACTCACATATTATTAATGGTAAATGTAGCTTTAAATAGCCAAATGACAGTTTCTAAACAATTAAAAACCACTCCCGAAAATAAAGCTAATAGTGGTTACAGGAATGAGAAAAATTAGGAAATATCCCTAAAGACTTGGTAAACCAAGATATTATTCAAAACAGAAATAAAAACTGCTGCAAACTCCATCATTTATGAATCTCGATTATTTCATTGCCATGTCTGTTTTTAAAATATTTTTATTAATTTTTGATTATTTATAAAAATACATTAAGTGTTTGAGACAATATAATTAAAACATTTTTTGTCAGCAAATAAGAGGATTAATAGAAAAATATTGTAAAAGATATATAATTATTCTGTAAACTTTATCCTGCACAATACTTTTAGCATGCTCATAATCTAATAAATTCAAACTCATCCATGTTTCAGTTTCTAAATGATAATCAGATAACCATCCTAGAGTTCAGGTTATCGATGTAAGAATATATGCCAATTTTGTATAGATTACATTTAACCAAGAAAGTAAAGGAAGTTCTTCCTTATTATATCTAATCACATATTAAACTTTTAACGCAAATCCCTTGCTTACACGGATTACTCGTATAAATACAAAGAATAGAACAATAATTTAGGTAAGAGATCCAATCAACTCGTATTTTCATTGAATAAAATGTAAAACAAAAAGAGATTATGCAAAAATCATGTGGTAAACCTGCTATTGTTGGCTCCAGTATTACTATAAAGCAAGCTATACATTTTCTATATCAAAAATATCAATTTTGTTTATTACTGCAATGTAAAACAGCATATAGACAATGACCTCAACGAGGATCAGCAGGATGTTTCATTTAAAATAATATATGCCAATATACAACACAACCAACAGCAATTTACAAAAATAAAGAGCTTGGGTTTACCTTTTTTGAGGGGAAGGGGAAGAAAAGAATATCACACAATAACTAGAATTTAAAGAAGAATTCAAAGAAGATTAGTAGCTCAGTGTTGCTATGTCCTTGGACCAAAGAGGTCCTTGGTCCTTCGTCACATTCAATTCAATCAGGCAATCATATAAACTGACTAGCAGATTTTGTAGGCTCTCTTCTCTTGGCGTTTTTCTTCATCATGTCAACCCAACTAGCTAATATATTAGACTCTTCAAACTTACCAACAAAATTCATCTTTCTAGCTAACTCCTCAAGGATGACAGTATTCCCAGTTTTAGAAATATCAGAAGCAAACTTGTTATAGTCAAGTTGAGGAGCTTTCATCCCCTTCTCTAACATTTCCTCTAAATACCTACATGCATCACTAGACCTGTCCTGTCTTATAAGCCCACCAATGAGTACAGCGTAGGAATTTTCATCAGGACAGCACCCCTTCTGATGCATCTCATCCCAAATTACGTGACCCATTTCATAATTTTTTGTCATAAAATAGGAATTCATTATCATGTTGTAGGAGTGAACAGTTGGTTCAATGCCACTTTGAATCATTTTCTTGTATATTCTCACTGCATCATCTGGCATATGCTGGCTAGTCATCAATTTTATCAAAGCATTGTAGGTCCTCCCATCGGGTGAACAACCTCTTTCCCTCATTTCCTTCAGTAGATTGTATACCATATCCATTTTCTTCTGCCTCCCAAACCCAGTGATCAAGCACGTGTAAAGAGCAACATCAGGTTGGCACCCTAGATCTACCATTTCATCAAAATATTCTATAGCTTCTCTTGTCATCTTCTGCTTGCAGAAGTCCTGTATAATAATTGTATAACTCCGAACATTGGGTGAAGGACCTTTGGCCTTCATAATTACAAATAACTTGATGGCATCAGACTTCTTCTTACACTTCAACAACCCCTCAAGCATAAAATTGTGCGCAACAATATCCGGCTTAAATCCCCCATCAATCATCTCATTCCACACCCTCCCTGCTTCCAGCAAGTTTTTCAACCTGCACCAACCACTAAGAAGTATGGTGTAAGTTTGCAAATTGGGTATAAATCTATCTCTCAATTTCTCAAAAACAGCTTGCGCTTCTTTACCGAGTTTTGCAGTGCCAAGACTTTCAAGCAAGAAATTAATCACATCAACACCCACTTTAAACCCATGCTTCTTCATCAGATCGAAGATCCACACAACCTTCTTCCTTTGCTTTGCATCAGAAAAGGCTTTAATAGCAATGGAGAAAGTCTCCATTGTCAAAAGACCCTTCTCACCCATTTCCTCAAACAATGCCACCATTGTCTCAAACTGTCTAGTCCTCCCAAGAACACGCATCATGCAGTTATAAGTTCTGGAATCATGAGCAAACCCAGGCCTCTTCCCAGCCCAACAAAAGAACCGAAAAGCCGGCTTCCTAGCATGTTTAAACCTTTGCAGCACCTCCACCACCAAATCATGCGTCAATCGAACCCCGCATTCATCAAGAACAGCCTCCATGTTCCTATCTAATGCAAACAATTCGTCAATCACCTTGCATACCCTATGAACATCATCAAGATCTACACAAGATTCATCACTGACACCTCTACCATCACAATCTTCCTCAAGCCCAGAATCAGCTTCGCTAGCAAATGTCCTACTATTGTTCAAAAACGGAAAATTTTCATGATGAAAAGGGGAAAGGGGTAAGGCGGAAAAAGAGCCCAGACGGATAATCAACAGCTTTTTTGGAAAAGCAAGGAGTGGAGAGGGGTGTGGCAAAAGAAGTGAAATTTGACAACGAGAATGATAGAAAGAGCAATAAGGAGAAGCACGAAGCAAACGAGACAAGGGCAGAGAGCTACCACAAGGTAAGCGCACTTGCTCTCCTCCTCTTTGCGGTAGTTGTCTCCGATGGAATGAGCGAAGCTCGGTGGCGGAGAAGACGCAGCATAGGCCATGTTGATGTGGCAGTGAAGAATGCGCGTGGTGTCGCAGGAAGAATGTCAAAGGTAGAACGTTGGAGGAGGTTCTTGTTGTGTGACCAAGAGAGAGAGTCATCAAGGTGCCATTCACATCACAGGCAGTAGAATTACTAAGGAAAAAATGTAGTGAGTGAAGTTCTGTGTTTGTGTGATGGGTTATGGGTTAACCCGTGATGGGCCCTCGGCCCGTTAACCCGTGATGGGCCCTCGGCCCAGTTAAGTTGGATACAGATTAAGAATATTCAAATCCAATCCAAAGTTTGTAAAAGTAAAAGGTCATGGGGCAGTTTTACTCCCTCCACCACCACACACGTTCTTCCTGCACCTCTCCATTTCTTTTTTTATTCTTTAATAATATTTAATTTCTAGTTTTAACTTTTACCGACATTCATGAATGGAGATCGTGAACGAATTTAGATATCCGTTAAAGGACAAACAGATGTGCCTTATCTGCTGCACGGTTATCTTCTTCCTCTGCACACAAAAAACGCAGGCAACCAACTAGCACAACAAGCATACCGTACACAGAATGTATATTCAAATACATTAAAATGAAAATCAATCATGCACATTACGTCAAGCCCAATAACACTAGCTCGCTGCTTTTTCTATTCTTCAATTCCGTGAGTACCTGCATAATTTGGATGAATTTGATATTGTTTTTTAATTTTATTTTCTTTCTTTTTTGCGTTTGTGCTTCTGCATTGATGCATGATCAATTTGTTGTTACAATCTGAGAATCTTTTCTCTGAAGAATGCTCAAATTCTTAAATTTGAGACCTTTGTTCTTTTAATGTTTCTGAATAATAATCGTTTTCGTGTTAGTTTTTCATCGCCACACCACCAACGCACCACGAACACACAAGGAGGACCAAAATGGAGAAGAAAGAAAGAATGAAATGGAAACGGATATGAAAAATGGTAGAAAAAAATGGATACAAGAAAGAGAGAAAGTGAAGGGGGTGAGACTGCCGCTATCAGTGAGAATGAATGATAAAGAATTAGGGTTTTCATATAAAAATAAAAAAGTAAATGATTAAAGTAAAAAAGGGTAATTTGTATTTAAGAAAAAATTAGAAAGGTACAGAAAGCAGCAGTTGGAGTGGTAAAGGGAGTAACTCTCAAAGATTAGATGCATTTGTAATTTTGTGAATGTCTAATTTTATTTTTTATAAAATTTTCATTATACGGGTTTCTAAAATTAAATTGCCTTAATTCACCATTAATTTCTTATTCAATGATGGGAAAAAAGGTTAGTGTATGTACTTTGCTGTTAAATTTTATTAGTAATATTTTACATAAACAAGACACCGCTATAACGTAATAATTTGTGACAAAAATTAGATTACGTAATAAAAACATAAAAATTGCTTAAATTTGAAAAAGAGAAACATCATATATGAAATTAAACTTTTACAAAAACTGTTACAAATTTATAAAATTAGACTCTAAGCACATTTAAAACAAAACAAAAGTTTGAACTATCAACATGTTGGTTGAATAAATCAAAATCAAAATCCTTTAAGTTCACAAATTTGAGCTATCAACATATTTTTCAAAGATGAATTATTAGATACGTATACATTTTACAAGATAAATTTTATAAATATGCATACTTTTTATTTCGTATTTGGATAAAAAAATTAAAGATAATTCATTTTATTAAAAAATTTAAATATTTTATTATAAAATTTATTATTTAGATAAAATAAAATAAAATTTTACAAATTGATGAAAATAATGTCATTTCAAAAAATTATAAAATCTTAAATTTTAATATAAAAATTTAAAATTTAAAATTTAAAATGCTTCCTATTTGTTTTTCTTTAAATTTATAATCTTATTATTTTATATTTTATTTTTGGCTCAATTTTAAATTTTAGTTGTGATATTATTTTGATATAAAGTTAGTTGGATTGCTTATAATAATCTTGATTATAATATAAGTTAGGATTATTTATTTTTGGATTTATTTAATATTCTCTGGATTCATTGATAAACTCAAATTTAATATTCGTCCAGTAATGAATCTGGAAAATGCAAACTCATAATTCTGCATAAAAGAGAGTTCTCTTAGCACTTTTTATCTAAATCAAAATAGTACCAATTTCGCCAAAATGTCTTATTAGAAGCCCAGGACTGTAAATCTAACCCAAATTTCACAATTCAAAAACCTATTTTATTAACCATATGTTTACTTATTTCTCAAAATTTCCCCAAATAAATTTAACAAATATAATGCACCAATTCAACATTCGATTCACATAATAACAAACAATCAATTAATATCATACAAATCAAATATATATACAAAGATTAAAATTAACTTTCTTTATCTAGTTAAACAACCTCTAGCATCTCAAATGCTCCTTAGAATTATATTTCTCACAAAATGACCTAACTAGATAAATAAGATCCCAATTAGAAATATAAATATATCAGCATGATTATAGAGGAAAATAGATTCACTTAGAGCACCTTTGAATCACATGCTTGCCTTTCAACCCAATGCAACCCAAAGAACAAAACCGTCTTAAAAATAACAAAAAAGAAACTTACTCTGTTATTCACTGTGACTGAATAAATATATAAAGTTATTTATTAGGAATACTTCTACAATTTTCTATATTTAAAGGGATAAAGATTGGAGTTAAAATTTTTAAAAAATAGTAAAAAGAAAGGTTTTGGAAAGAAAATTTAGAGATGATAGTTTTAATAAAATAAACTTCACTTAATAAAATATTTATTCATAGGGCCAATTTTTATTATTAAAATAGTATAATGTCATCTTTTAAAAGACACCACCTCTTTTACCGTTTTATACAATCTTACAATTCTTTTAATTAGTGATAAAAGATTTTTTAAATTAATTTTTTGAGAATTCTACAAGGATCATAGATGTGTATTTGGATGTAAACAATCTAATTTTTTAGAAGCGAACAAATAAATTTTGGAATAAAATTTTTTGTTTTCTAAGTTATTTATAAATTTTTTGGGATAAAATTTAGATGCAATTCCTAGTGTTTTTTTATTATGAATTAAAATTTTACTTCAATAACATATTTAACGAAAACTTTTATAATTAAAAAGTCCAGAAAGTAAATGATAACTTACAGATTTAAACTTAAGAAATAAAGTGACATATGACCAATATAGTTAATCTTAACCTCTTGTGTTGCGATGTTATCTTTTTAAGCTCCTCAAAGGATTTGTTTGTTTGTTACTATGAAGAGGAAATGTTATATTTTTAATTCTTTGGAGTGTATAAATCGCCCTCCTTGCGCCAGTTATGAAGATATATATCATCCTTATTTTATAACATTTCTCTTTGACGTATATATGCATGGAAACACTTTTATGTCTTATATTTATCCAAAAAGACAAAAAATGAAACAGTAATGAGGAAAGGATAAAGAAAGAAAAGGACATTGATCTAATAAGGACAATAACTACTACTGTAAGTAACGCCTAAGCGTTTGTTTTTTTATTCAACAGAAACATCTAACCTAGTCTGCATCCTCGTTCTTAAAGATGGTAAACGTTGGAGCCAAGGATTATTTGGAACCATTCAAATGTCCTTATTTGCTTTTCTTTATATTTTAATTACCTTCAAATGTGCAGTTAAATCCTGAATTAGGAGATAAATCATTTCTTAATGTAGCCATACAACCAAAACAGGACAACTTTGCATATGATTATCAGATTGTCACCATTCATGACTGTGAAGGGGTGATTGTAACATACGCATTTGAATTATCTATATCATTCTCAACACATCTTTAGCTATAATTATCATATTTTTTAATGACCACAATTTTCGTTTAAAATTGTTCATTTTCTCTGAAGTGTTATTTAAGTTGAGGGATGGAAAAGGAGAAATATAACAAATTATTGGTTTTTTTGCATGATTAATAGTTCAAGTACATAAACTCTAAAATTTACTAATATTACAACAACGATAAAAGGGTGCGTCCTTTGTAAAACTTTGTGTCGATATCAACAACACGGCCTGCAATGGTGGCATTCTAAAATACACATAAATCATGCCCTATGTGTCATGCAGATTTTGGCATATTCTTATTTGTCCCTTTCGAAGAGATGAAGATGTTTTCCTTATCATTCAAGCTTATAAACCGTGTTCCCTTGAAGCTCAAAAGGTTCGGTAAGTCTCATAGGGGCATGTTTTGAGATTTCATAAGAAGCAAAAATGGGAGCAGTGAATGATGCAAACCGCAGCAGAAAGAAGTCATCATCAAGAGGGCACCACAGGTTTGTGGGGGTTCGACAAAGGCCATCGGGGAGATGGGTGGCAGAGATCAAAGACTCTCTACAGAAGGTCAGGCTTTGGCTTGGAACATTTGACACAGCTGAGGATGCAGCTAGGGCATATGACAATGCTGCTCGAGCCTTGAGAGGTGCCAATGCTAGAACCAACTTTGAATTGCCTGAAGCAACTTCTGGTGATGCTTCTAAGCGTGGTGATGGCAGTAGTTCAACCTTTGTGCCCAATTGCTCTGAACCCTTTTCTTTTGAGGATGTCAACGAGCCAAGTGAAGAAGCTGAAGGCCTTCTTGGTGCACTTAAGGCCAAGCTGCTTGATGGAAAGAAAGGAAAGTTTCACTTTCCATTTCTTCCTAATAGTGCTGCTTCCCCGCTTGTTCAATCTGGCTGGGTTTCAACATCAACTCAGAATGTTTGTTCCGCGGAGAAAGATTTATTGTTACCATCATCAGCCAGTAATACTGTCCTCTCAAGTATGAATGGAACTGGAGCCAACCCTTTACTTGGTGTTACGAGTACGTTAGAAACATCAAACACTTGTTCAAAGAGTGTGGTTATCCCAAATCATGATCACGAAGGTTCTGAAGGAAGAAGTTCTAGAGTCGACTCTCATCAACTTTGTCAAACTCCACCGGAGGCAACATGGTTCAATGAAGTGGCATATGAATTGCCTTGGCCTACACAATGTATGAGCCAAGTTCCTGATAATAATAATAGCCTTCTTGCATCTGCAGCCACCTTGGCATGGCCACTTTCTGGGGTGATTGAGTCCATTGATATGGCTTGCCCAGATCAAGGGCCATCAAATTGCAACAAAAGTGGCCAAATGATGAATATGGTGAGCATGCAGTTACCTCTAGTTGGTGGTGCAACTGAAGGGCTTTGGACATTGGAACAACAACAATTTGTGCAATATGAGAACAACAGTTGGTTTAGTTATAATGGCTCTTGGGATCCTCTCCTTTCTGAGCTAGCTTGATTAGTGTTAAATATTGTTTGTGAAAGAAATCTTAAGTTGTCAGTTCTTAATACTATTGATTTACCAATCATTCTTTAATTTTAATTTCATAATGTATCCTTTTGTGTGCTCAAAGGTTTAGCAATTTTCTTCCGTCGTGGGAAGTAATGTTTTGTGTTTTGGTTACGAAACTGAGGTTATATGTCTACTAAATTTGGAGTATGGTCAAATAAGGAAGTTATTTACCGAATATACTTTGGTTAAAATCAGTAAAAATTAGACGAGTTTAATTATATAATAAAACACAGTCTCTGTGATACAGTTACTTAATCACCCAATGGTCTAATTCACGTTCCTGTGTTCCCGAGGACACTATGCTTACTTGTTCCTGTCCTGCATAAAACCACGTTTAATTCTGTAAGACCCTATTTTATTTATCCTGATAAATCATGCCAGAGAATAATACTCCGAACAAACGGGAACATAATTTTTCTTTTTGGAATTCTTTTTATTATTATAAAAAATTTATTAAGGAGTATATCAATTTATATGTCTCACTTTTTTTATTTAATAAGTTTTTTTCTATAATGCTGTCAAAGAAAGGTTCTTTTGTAAATTTTAATAATGTTGACTAATTATAAGAAAATTATTAAAAAAATTCAGTGTCTCTCTTAATCATTCGCATCCAGTGGATTTTTTTTTATTGAATATTTGTTGAAAGCAGCTAATAAATTAATCAAATGCTTTTTCCCCCTTTAAACTAAGGTATAATCTTCCTTTTGGGCCAAACTTAGATATCTTAATCTTCTTTTCGTGACTTTGCCGCCCTTCTTTCGAAAAACGTTATTTTTTTTTGAGAAAAAAAGAACTGAAAATTTCTATTTAGCTTGAAATGAAATAACTATTTTATAAAAGATGGTCCTAATTTCATTAAAAAAAACAAATAATAATAACACAATTAACTACTCAAGTTAACATCCTATAGTAGAATTACACAAGCGTTTCTCAGTATCAATCTGTCCCTATAAGTATATGGTGGAGTTCTATGACTTTGCTATTTTAAAGAAAAAATAATTTCTTTTTGAAAAAAGAATATAATAAATTAAACTAAAAATAATTTATCAATATAGCAATATTAGATAGTATAAGTGATCTTGTGTGGCATAATATCTCTTCTAAATTGAAGGAATATGGTCGTATGCCTCGCCTTTTGGTTCCACTAGCATGTCATTCGTAAATTCTCTTGTGGTGAAATTAAAAAAAAAAAAACTGGAATAATTTAACAGGTCAAGCTTTATTCTTTCAATATCCAAATGATCTTTACTTGGTTTGCTGAGATTTATGTCACGAGGTTGAAGAGGGAATGGATAGTAATTAAATATTGTAGAATATAACTAATATTTAAGTTGTAAAATACAAATGTTATAGAATTTGTGCTATTTTTCATTAAACCATCTGTTGCATTCTCCACCAAGACAAGTAGGCCATGCATGCATGCATGCATATGGTTCCAGCATCATGATAATATTGTTTAATTAATTGGAACTTTTGTACAGTCAAAGAATATAATATCATCTCTTATAATCAAGATAAAGAGGACAATTATTTGCATCCCCATCTTTTCCTCTGCAAATTTGAATAGGCAAAGAATATTAATTGTTGGATTGTTATCTTAAATAAAAATCAATTGTTTTATACTTTTCAATAACCACCTTCAAAATATATTATCTTTAGGACAATCTTTATAAGATACTCCAAAGTATAATAAACTAGTTAAATTATTGGCTACTTTTAAAATATATTTTACATTTTGCTAAAATGCCCAGTGAGAATACTCTAACATTTTTTTTAATCTTTCTCAACTAATTCTTTACCATAAATCTATGACTAAAATAAATCTATGCCCAATGAGAATACTTGCAGAGGTGGAGCTTAAGAGGGGCGGGTGACATGGCCCATTTTTTAAATTTTTTTATATTAGGATTTTTTTAATTTTTAAAGTTTTTTAAAATATATGTAGTATAATTAAAAATTGAAAGAAATTAAATTAACCATCTTTTTATTTTTTTTATAAAGCATAACATTTAATATTAAAAATAATAAAATATAAAATCAAATATAATAAAGAATAAAAATATGTATTAAAATGTTTTTATTTTCTTTTTTATTGTCTTATCGAGTTTTCAATAAATTGTATTCATGTTTTAGTTCTTTTTTATTATATGAAGAAAAAGATAAAAAAGAAAACTAGGCACAAAATTATTATTTTTTTCTCATTTTTCTTTGATATATACTATTTTGGAATAAACAAAAAGTAATTTGTCCGTTTCACTTAATATTGAAATATTTCTTTAATAGTTAGTATTAATTTTTATCTCATAAGTATTTTGTATATTATTTTTTTATGAATATAAAAGAAAAAATAATTTATTATGACTTTTTTTCATAACCAGTTTTTAATTATATTGATTGTCATAGATTGATAGTACGTTGAGGGAATAATTGCTTTTAAATTCTTGATTTTGTTCTGAATTGATGACAGATGGGTCTAAGAATGTTGTGCTCATGGATAAAGAAAAAAAAATTCTGTAGGATTTTGAAACTGTTTTTACCTCTAATCTTTAGACAAATTACTTAGTTGATATTCCAAAAATTGAAGTTTAACTAATTAAAAAATTAGGCTCTTATTCAAGAAACTAGTGCTTACATATGCTGGAAATTAATGATATTTGAAGTGTAAACTCAATAAATGGCATTTATTTAAATTTCGGTGAAGTTTAAACTTAGTATTTTTCTTTATATTTGCTAAGCCATTTTCATATTACTTGAAAAGGAATTTTGGTGAACTTTAAACCTTGTATCTTTCATTATACTTGGTAAATCATTTTCAAACAATTACTAAAGGGAAAAAAATATTGAACTAGTTTTTCCTAAAATTCTTACATTAAATATATTTTTAACCTTAAACAGAAAGTCTATTTGGGTATGTGATGCATTTATATGTCATCTTCTTTATGCACTTTTTTTTATATATAAATTCTTCTATGTTATTTGTGCAATTAATCTATAAGTTAATTCTTAAACAATTTCTAGAATTTTAAAAAATAAATAATGTACATAAATAAAAAAGTATTATAAAATAATTAGTAGTATTACTTTTAAAATTTCAAAAAGGAATTGGAAAAACATATATTAAAATCTAGAGCTATCAAAACGGGTAACTCAGCTCAACCCAACTCGGTCCACCACGAGTTGATCACTTAGTGAGTCAACCCAACCCGGCTCACTTATTAGCGAGCTGAAAAAATTTGAACTCTGCCGGACCCACCAAGGGTTGGTGGGTTAAAGAGGTTGGCTCACTGACTCACTTAATTATAAGTTTTTTTAAATTAAAAATATATAATTTTTTTAAAAATGAAATGTAAATAAATTTCACTCAAATGATGTTAAATTACAAAGACAATTCAAAATAAAATAAAAAAATATCATACACTCCAAGCGTAATCCAAAAATAAAAACAAAAAGGTGAACACATAAGTTTTTAATATTGATAATTTTTGTATCACTTGTCTATCTATAATATTAGAGTCTTGAATAGATAAATCTATAATATTTTTCTCTCTTGAAACATCTTTTTTTTATCCCATCTACAGTATAATAAAAAAAATACTAAACTAATAATATTGAAACACAAAATAATAAATAATTAAATTAAATTAGGTGGGTTGGTGAGCGTCTACACGAGTTCAATCCGGGTAAGCCGGGTTGAAAACTAACTCGCATAAAAAAAATTACATTTTTTTCAAACCCAATCTAGCTCAAACACCTGATGAACCAGGTTGACTTGTGGGTTACAACCCATTTTGACAACACTATTAAAACCTAATCTTAAAAATATAAATAATTCTAATAAAAAGTAATATTTCCATTACATTACATAATATTATCAAATAATAACATTATTATTATTATGTGATATTTTTAAAATTCTATTTTATGATTAAATATGTTTACAGGCTTTTGTATATAAAATTGTAATTTAGTTTAGGATTAGATTTTGATATACCAGTTTTGTCAAGAATGGATATATATATATATATATATATATATATATATATATATATAATCTAATTGTGTGAAATATTTTTTACATGTTAAAATATATTTCAAAGAAAAATTATCTTTGAAATGTTTCCATTATTTAACACATTTCAATTTAAATGTATGTTTAAAACACTATTTAAAATGTAAAAAGAAAATTATTGAGTTAATAAACTATATGTATTTATTTTATTGGATTAAAAACTATATGTATTATTTTTAAAATTTAAAAAACAAAGTATATTAAAATTTTGAATATAAAAAAAATTGAATTTGGTTTAGGAACTAAAATCATGTTTGACCATTTATTTTATTATATTTTATCCTATTATTCTGACTAAACCAGACCTAAAGACTTCATAACATATTTTAAAATCTTTATTGTTTGAGCGGTATTGGTCTCAATAGCAAAAAATAAAATGCTTCGAAAACCTTTTTCTTTTCTTCCAAAACTTTAAGCAAAATGTCTTAGCCGTCCAATATTTGAGCTTATATATATAGCACATTGGAGAATCTAATTCATAAGCCATGGCACCTGAAGACTTTGAACTTCTACTTCATTGGAGCCTTAATTTTCCATGCCTTAAATGTTTTCCCTGCTTTGGTCACCACTATATTATTCTCTTTCCTTTTAAGTGATTAATTTGGAACAAGATTTGACAATTTGTTCTGGCTTTCCATTAATTTGAGATGGTGCTGCTGCTCATCCTACTAAAGGGGAAAGTATTAGATGCCATGTAAACGAGGGTGAGAGAAGCATAATTTCTTGTGCAGTCACACCCTGAAGATGCCTACAACCCATTATAGAAGCTTCAATTGCCCAATTGGATGAAAAAGAAGAGAGACAGAATGAAACACAGCAACTTCCTGTCTAAACGACACAAATGCAAAAACACGTGGCCTATATTTGTTCATAATGT